GGTTGGGTCTGAGGAATAAGTTTTGATGTCGGTTGAGGTTGTGGTTGGGTCTGGGGAATAAGCTTTGATGTTGGTTGGGGTTGTGGTTGGGTCTGAAGTATGAGTTTTATTGTTTGTTGGGTCTGGGTTGTTGTTTGCTTTTCTCTATGCTGTAGGTGCCCTCCATGTTTCTCCACATTTGTGTGGGTGACAGGCACAGACGTCACAGTGGGAGTAATCTGTAGTGTAGGATGGTGCTTGGGAGCTAATGGAATTTCAAAGAAAGGAGGCAAGACAGATCTGAAGAGGTCTCCTCCTCCTGGGACGTCTAAGAGAGAGAACATGAAGCTTGAAAATATAATTTAAAATAAAATAGATTATAGAAAAGGTTACTTTAGAAAATGAAATAGAACAACATATTTCATTGTATGGAACATTCTGAAAACAAGACATGCAGAGTGTTAGGGAACAGTTGAAATTGAGATTATCAGAATCACCTAAGAACTCACCAAGCTGGTCTTGGACTACAGCACAGGTTACACAATAACTCTCGAGACTCGACTGCCAAGAGTCTGATAGAGGGGGTCAGATTTCAAAGGCAGACAGACCATATGGAGGTATTTTCAATGTTACAGCCGTGTTACTACAGACAGACTCAGCTACCAGGGCCAGGATACCTGTGAATGACAGCCATCCAAATTCATTGGCTGTGCCTCTAAGAAGCTTTAACGCGTGACGATTCAACAGTTGCTGATTGATTACTCACTGTGGGATTTTGGTGGACCATTCTAAATTGATTGCTCAATCTGGTCAGGTATTCACCTCAATGAAAGAAAATGGCAAAGTAAAGAAGAGGAAAATCATGAAAGGCGATGACTATAACACGAAGGGGAAAAAAGTAATAGGCTCACTGCCTTTACTCAACTTTACTCTCACGTTAAGTCTAAAATACTTTGGTTTTGGGGGTTGTTGGTCGATTCACTGCAATTAGCTACCCAACCAAGGACTGGGATCATAACACTGTCCAGCTGAGTATTTATTGGAATTTTATCGTAACAGAATGGAGAATATAGCTGGATTTGTATTCAGACACTGGGTCCTGCTTCAAAAGTAGCCCATCAAAGTGAGTCCTTTAGAGAACCTAAGTTCTTCCCAAGCTTCACCAAATTATGGTGCTCCATGTTTATTATCCAGTCAACAATTTACAATTTTATCATTCAAAAGTCTCATCCTTCAAATTCAGGCTTCAGTAATTAAACTTCTGGTGAAAAGGAACATGTCTATTTGGTTGTAATGAGCTGTATCCAGGCTGTGAACTGGGACAAAACTACTGTTTGATATACCAATCGAAAAATGGTGGAGTAGGAGACAAACAACAGAGAAACAGAAGTTCTGGAAAACAGGAACATTTAAGATTCCGCTGAAGTTCCTGCTGGAGGAAGAGGAATGTCTGGTGCATGCAACGTTGTCATGCAGACTTCACACCATCAACTGTGTTGCATTGAAAGCAAAAGCTGCTGATTTGTCATTGGCAAAAAACATTATGAAAGATCATACTATGGATACTGAAAGGGAAAAAAATGATTCATAAGTTCATTCATAAGAAATGTGAGGCAGATACAGGAAAATTTAGAAATGTAAGAAGTGTATTTGAGATATGACTAAGTTGTAATTGGCACTGTTTAAGTGAGCAGCAGCTAACAAGCTTCTCAGTGCCGACTAACAGTCAACTCTTTCAACGGCTGGAAAAGATCCTTTGCAGTACTCATGGCTTGTCCTACAGATTTCCGATCCGAGTCCTGTGATTAAACTGTGCAGATTAAATCATGACAATGAGATGTAAAAATAACAGAGAAGACACAAGAGATCCTTCAAATCATTAAGAATCCTTTCAATTTTTGTTGTTGCCATGCAGCCAAGACCACCTATCTTACGCTCAGTGCAATCCAAACAGCTGACACCATCAGCTAGTTTCCACAAGAATGGCTGAGTTACCGTACTTATTCATTGCATGCCACTCATGCAGGTCATTACAAACACTGTAAAGCACTGACAGCCTGTCAGTTACAATCCGCCAAGTCTATGATTGCAGCCGGTATGAGAGCCATGAAGCTTTGTCAAGAAGAGCTGTGATTCACTGTTTACCGATTGGCTGTTTGGCGATGGTAGGTGGTGTGGGTCCAGGGGGTGACAGAGATTTCTGTCTAGTAGTTGTAGTAGTACTTGTGGTTGGAGCTGAGAAATATAGTGTATGTTAGTAGACCTTGAAGAAAAATTGTTCTTGTACCTGCTGTAGAATGTACAAAAAATCTGTATGTACAGTAAACAAAGATTTCCAGCAGGAAAGTGATAGAAAAATCAAGTACACTGGTCAGTTATAAGTTCAAGGTGTTTCTTTCTGACTGCTGAACTCAGTTTTAGGTCATAAAAGTCATTACCAAGAGTTGTCTTTGACGCTATGCTCCGGGAGATGGGCAGTCTGCCCTGGGTCTTGTTATGGAGAGCTGACAAAAACAGAGTAGGAGAGATTCAAGGGAAGGATTATGTTTGTCAATTTATTTTAGAACAAACAAATACATTTTGGAGAAAAAAATATGTCTCATTTGTGGTTAGGGTTCATGATAGTTTTCTTCAACATTAAGATCTGCATCTTCAGCTTTATCATCTCTATCAACTGTTGACCCACCATATCCATGCCAGGCACCTAAGGAACAATATGGTTAAATTTGCAATAACACTGCAGTGATAATAACCGCAGCCAAACGGGTTATGTTGTTTTCACCCTTGTCCATTAGTTTTTTTGCTTGGAAGCAAGATCACACAAAAGTGACCGAATGGATTTCTCCGAAACTTGGTGGAAGAATGAGACATGAGCCCCGAAAAAAATTACCATTAAATTCATCCTTATAATACATGGATCATAATAAACAGGTATGTTTGGGGAACAAATATCTATGAGTGTGCAATTTGGTGCAGTTTGAATTTAAGGGAACTGTTGGGCTTTGGAAGGTATGCGCTCTACTGAGTGCCATCCTAGTTGCTTATGGGTTCATTGCTGAGTGACCATTTTAGATTACTCAGTCAGTTGATCCATTGCTGGATAAAGCTGTAATCAAAGGGGGCTAAAGTATTCTGAAGGCAACATGGTAAAATTAAATGTAATTTGTGATGTACTGGAATGTGTTTATTGTCTATATGTTGTATATAGTATCATCATTGACACATTAATTGTTGGCATTTACTATAAATCCCAAAATCGAAAATTATTGATTTTTATTTTTCAAGAAAGTCAGAGGTGGACTTGACAAGGTTCTATTTGTAAAACCATTAATCAAAGTTGGAGTAAAAATTCTTTCAGTGCTTGTGGAGTCAGTAAGAAGACCTGAACAGTGCTAAATCAAAGTGTGTTATAAAAATTCTGCTGCTATATTAAAAGGGTTCAGTGGGTTTAACCGAATGCAGCATATCTCTGTGGGCTTACCGTGGCGAGGAGCAGAGGGGGGGTAGCGTGGACCTGGTGCTATGGGTTTCTGGTGGGCGAAAGATAAGAGGACACCGTCACAACAAATACATGTTTACCCTCACTGTCATCTTTTTCTCTTTATTCCACTTACACCCTCTCCTCTATGCCTCTGTGAAGTCCCCAATGAAAAAAATGTTATTCCGAGTTTCCTTGGAGAAGAGCAAGCAATGCAGCTGATGCTCAACAGCTGTGGTGTTTTATGTGTCCGAGGCCAGGAGCACATGACACAGCAGCCTTGCGCTGTCAGAAAATCAATGCCACCTTTTCCCTCTCAACTCGTTTCCACACCGTTATCATTCTTCCCTCTATCCCTCCATCTAGTCTTCCTTCTCTCTCTTTTACTACTCCAGACGTTAGCTAGCTGCAGCCGGTTCCTCTTGGCGTGGCCGATCCTGGCTGCACTGATGCTGTTTCCACTGAGCAGTTGGATGGAAAATTAATGAGGCAAATAACCCTAAGAATAGCATAAGCTCACTTGTGCACATAAAACAGACTTTTAAGTATATCGTCTGTTCCAACTACTCACCTGCTCCCCAAAATATTTATTTTGGGTAGAAGAGGTAGACCTGTCTCGTGTCACTTCTCGCTCTTGTTTCATATTATTACAATAACATTCTAAAGTTAAACATGTCATATTATTAGTCGTAATACTTTTACTAGTTATGCCTTGATAATGGATTATAAAATAGTGGGTCCAGTACGTACCACAGGGTTGAGAGGCTGTTTAAAGATTTTCCTGATGGACTTCTCTGGGAACACAAGAGACAGATCAGCGACGTAGTCAGTAAAGTGGAACCAACAAAAGTGAAGGAACAAAACAAAACCACATTTCAAAGATGCTTCATTCAAGATGTGTTTGATTCCATGATGATGAATGAGGAGTCCTTTGTAGTGGCTTAATAATGAATAAACTACAAGATGGTTTTGATTCAGTATCTCAGTTGATTGTGCTGCACAGTAACATGATGTCACATCGGTCATTGCACTTATTGGGTGAAGACTAAGTCAGCATTTGCCTTAATGTTTTCACATGAAAAAAAAAAACATGGGAATGAGCAACAATGTTGTTCCCAAAATTACAGAGAAACACGATACAGAAGAGAAACATCATGAAAAGATTTTCTCTTTTCTTCTTTTCTTCTTCATCTAATAAAAAATAACGCATACAGGAAACCACAACTCTCCCTGAACAATTATTAAATCTGGCTATAATTTCCCTTCATGCTTTTTGCTGTTTTTTCACTTTATCATCTTTATTAATCTATGATACAATTTTAGAGGTATGATAATGAAAAAGTAGGTTAACGCCTGGACATCTAAACTATTAAACAGTCCTTGCTTTAAAAGAAAAAGAATCAAATAGTGGAAGTGTTTTTGTTGTTAATGAAACCTTCCTATACTCGTTTTCCTTCTATATACTCCGTAGTTAACCCTTACCCTCAACATGATGATCACCCCTGCCTAATATATTTTGGTTCTTCACATTCTTTACACCAAAACAGCTCCAACCTGCCGAGGCATGGACACCACAAGAAGATGCACTTTGTTTAACTACCCCAAGACCCTTGATGGCCATAACTGTTTGGACAATATCAAAGTCTTCAGGTCTTTACACCTGCCCAATTCTATGAGAACAGACTGTCTCCTTACCATCTAATATATCACAGACATACACCGAGTGGTCGTAATGTTTCAGCCAAAATTTCTGCTTCTGCCAAATCCTGATCGCCTTTAGTTCTTCAGGATACTAGGTCGTTTTCTCGTCGGATTTGTGCTACCTCCCCATTTAGAGCAGCTATAGCAAGTGGTTCTGAAATGAGGGTGAGAGAATCATGTCAAAAGATACTGACCCTCTAATCCCCCCGAGCTGATGTTGTGAATGACCGGCTTGCTCCATGTTCCAGTGACATCCTTGGAGCTGGGCTGGACACAGAACTCATAGACTGTGTTGGGCTTCAGATTGTCGATGACTGTGTCGCTGGTAGCGCAAGTCTGGTAGTTCCACTTCCTGCTCCTCTCACGGTAACGCACCGTGTAGTGTCTAAGATGAAGGACAATAGAACAAACTGATAAACCTTAACTACTATGTAAATGGTGTGTATTTATAAAGCACTTTTCTAGTCCAGATGACGACTCAAAGCGCTTTTCAGTAAAGTTTTACATCTACCCATTCACACTCACATTCATACAGTGCATCTATGTGCAGCACTCGAGAAGGAGACAATTTGGGGTTCAGTATCTTGTCCAAAGACACTTCGGCATGCAGAAAGGGGGAGATTGGGATTGAACCGCTGACCTTCCTGTTGGAGGATGGCCGCTCTAACCCTGAGCCACAGTCTGTGAAGAATCTGAATCATTGTGATGATAGAATAAGTAAAAGAAATAAAAAGAAAATGCATTTTCTGATTTTGTTTTTAAAGACACTTTCTCAATCATTCGAGAGGTTTCCTCTTACCTGGGTTTCAAACCTTTTAAGGAACATTTGTGTTTGCATGTCACAAGTAGACGATTGATGTTATTAGCTTTTTCTTTGCATTTAGTGTGTGTGTGTGTGTGTGTGTGTGTGTGTGTGTGTAAGCTCACCCGTCTTCTAAACAGTCATTCATGATATTGCCATCATAAGGTGTTTTCAGCAGTGTCCCCCAGGACAGGAGCACTGAGGTGGGCGTTACCGATCCAATCACTAAGTGTAATGGCTTCTGCAGTTCCACTTTTCCTGAGAACAAGTTAACACGTCTTACTTTAATAAACATTTCTGCCTTCATACATATCTGTCACTTCTACCACCCTTACCTGTGCACTGCTTCTTCACCTCATTGGTCGGGATGGGCTGGACGGCTATAAGGTACTTGGGCTCAGCGTCTTTAAAAGAATAAGAAACTAGAGGTTAGTGATGTTATAGATTCTCGATCTGCACTGAGCAGCCGGCAGCAGAACGCACTGCAGGTACGATACGGACAGAAGAGCATCCTGAACAAAGTGATGGAGCTCACGCAGTCATGAGTTCAAAGACTCTGTGGAATCTCTTCCCTTTTAGCCATGTTACAAAAGTCACAACTAATCTACATTTCACATAAATAAAAAGCCACCCTTACCAAACTCAGTCTCATATGGCTGTCCATTGTCTGGCAGCGGAATGAACTGTTTGGAGAACATGCTGCTGCCATAGCCCAGGATGTAGCCCTCGAGCTTGGTGTCAGCATTTGGTCGCAGAAACTTCATCACAATGGTGTCTCCTGTGGCGTTGATGCGAACTTTCATGTTCTGACGTCGCACTGGAGAAGCAGGAGAGGAAATACACGAACCATTTAATGTAAAAATATTTTCTATTAGTCTTTGGTCAGACACAAAGAGGATCAGTAAACATGGAGAAAAGGGGGCTCTGCAAGTAATTAACGAAAAAAACAAGCATTTAGTTACACTTAAGTCACTGTCAATCTGCTGATTCATGCCTCTGCATCAAAGCTACGACGTAGGTGCACATGGGGCCAAGCATTCACAGTTGTGCGTTCGGTAGGTGTGTATGAGACACGCTGCAAATACATCGCCGAAACGCTAGTGGCAGAAGGTGAAGGTCAGTTCTTTAAGTTGAGTTTCAAACATTAAAAATGGGTGGTCCAAGGAGCTGGGAAATTTGACAGATGGTCAGAGCATCTTCAGGTCAGGTCTTGCCGGGTGTTCCTGGCATGAAGTGGTTCATTTTTAACAAAAGTGCTCAAAGGAAGGCCAATCTCTCTGTTTCTCTTTGGTGGCCACAGTATGTTAAGTATTTACATACGGCAGATTGTCCTCACTCATCTCAACTCTGTGTGTCATAAAAGTACAAAGAATTCTAAACATTCTTTCCTGTGATCATAGATGAACTCATGTGCACAATAACCAGTGAACAGACAAGCAACACAAAGTCCCTGCAAACACAATGCATGAGAGAATTTGTTTATTTATCTCTCTCTTGCCTCAGTCATGTGGCCTTTAAAACTAGCCAAGAATTCGGCGTGCTAGCAATTAGTGATTTTGAAACAGAATAAAGTGCATCAGAAACTCTGAGTGCAGCGAGGTCGGGGCTGTGACTGACAGTTGGCTGCTGCACATCAATCGATAAACAACACACCATTGGACGATATGTGGTGAGCATTCAGGATTAGAACATATACAGCTTTGGAAACTTTGTAAACTGCAATTCTTCTTTTTTAGAAATAAGACCAAAGCAATACATTTCACAAACATGCCTTTTTTTTATATTTTCTATTCCACAGTGGAAATTACAAAAAAGTCTATTGGGCTCAGACCTTCACCTCCCGTAGTGTACAAAACTTTCTGCCTGGATTATGTACTATATTTCTCCAGAGTACATGTCCTTGGCTCTAATCAAAGCTTCATAACGTTAAATGAAATAGTGGAACTTTGCATGAGGAACGAATCCAGCAGCTGCCTGATGCCAAAACAGACACTGACAGGGAACGAGGGGGAAGCCCTGGATTTGAAAAACACCCCTGTGCTTTTCCAGCTATGTGTTTCCTATCAAAACGGCATTTGTTTTGATTCTCTCATCAATATTTCCGATAAAACACAAGTGATATTGGCTCTGAGGGAGAGTGTATGAAACATTAGGAAACTTCTGGCAGCATGTTTTAAACTCCAGTACAAGCAAACACTGGCGTGGCCCCACGACACCGCAGCCATTTGGCCCACACGTCTCCTAGGGACTGTTAAGACTTATCAGTGTTTCCAAAGTGAAATGGATAAAGCTTTAGGAACAGATCCAGTTACAGCCCTGGTCATCAATCAACTACAGTACAAAGGAAAAATGACTGACATTTAGTTAGCCACAAAAACACTGCTAATCCACAACATGATGTTGTGTGTTTGTGTGGGTAAAATACAATGAAAATAATGAGGCTGTTTAAATTTACACACTTCCTGAGGGCAGCTCTGCTGGTGACTCTGACCCTGTCAGACAGATGAGGTCACTGAAGATTTATAACCTGAACAAAAGCTGTAACTAAATATAATCAAATCCATAATCTTCTCCTTCATAGCCACAGATAAATATTACTAAACATGTCAAGACAGAGTCTCTGTTTAATTTCTTATCGGAAAGTCAATGCAACAAGTTTGAAGAGACACAAAACGCCTATACAGAGACACTAAATGGAAAGCAAAGGGAAACATGGAGATAAAACTAGCACATAACACATAAAGTAGCCACAGTGAGACAGAAAGCAACGAACACAAAGACGACAAAAAGATGAAAAATCACCACTGATGGATTTAAAACGAGCACTAAGAGACTAAGTGACACAAAAAGGGTTGGATTTATTTTGTGTATGTTTCAATATAGGTCTTTCTCTCCGAGTATTTTCCATGTGTCCTCTAGGGGCCTATTGTCTCATAATCCATCCACGATAACCATCAATCATATGGAAATAGTAAGAGCTGCAAAAAAAATGGTACTATGCCAAAAATGGCAGTTGCAAATGTACGTATGGAGACTTGGTGGCAGATTTTTGCAAACAGTTCACTAAAACATCAATACCTACATTGGGGGGGATGACACTCACTTTTTTTCACAAGTGTAAATCTCATGTTAAAGAGAACGTAATCGATCCATAAACAATTACTGTAAAAGCAAATCCGCCGTGAGTCTGGGAATCAGCCAATAAACACGTCAGATTATTTAACAAACAATGCCACAACATTCAATAAATATTTCACCATCCTGTAATGGATAAAAACACAGAGCATTTAATCCTGCTGGCCTGAAACAGAGAAACACCCTGACACTGGAAACTCAGCGTTGGCTCAGCGGAGCAGCGATCATGGAGCCTCAGCAGTGATGGATGGTCCTCTGGGAAAACGACTAGGTTAATGGGGGTGTCAGCGCAACAGGCTCTCTTCACTTTCAGCTGCCGAGCAACACGATATTTTTATGTGTGTTTGGTGTTTGAAAATAAATATTCACGCCGGCATTTGCGCGGTATTGGCATCAACACATCAAGATTTACTGTGTGACGTTATCAAGCCAGACTTCCACAATCAGCGGCTCTCTCCTGCTCCGCTGTGTCTCTCTCTCGGTTCAGAGGTGTGCGTTAGAATAAACTGTGAGAAGAAATACATAGAGATCATGTCAAGACTTTTCTGTGAACTAATGAACTATAAATATCTGAAGCAAAACCTCAAAAAGAAAAAAAAAACTTGGCGCAGGCCTTTGTTTTCACAATGTGCGGTGGAAAAGAGTTTTTCTGCTCTTTTTAGAGATTGGAAAAGGGACACGGAGACATGGCGTCATGTTAGCTTGTCTCGAGCAGCTGAACATCACAGCTGAGACCTGCAGCATGTAAATGTCTCAGTCCAAATGAGGGTATAAACTCTTCCTATTGGTGCACTTTAATGCTCTAAAATCCCCTCGTATCACACACTCACACACCCATAAACAGACCTTTCTTACCACACTCATTCTCCCAGCCTCAGGGCGTTTTTACACGGCTCTGGTGTAAAGTATTTCAGCCTCGCAGTCCTGGAGGAGTTGGAGATGGAGGAGACTTGGCTTCCTGCACCGCAGAGACACATGTTTTATGGGCCTTGGTAAAACACTCACCGTCATTTAAAGCAATGGAGTGTGAAAATCTCGCTGAGCCTTGTGCCAGTCAGAGCAGCGAGGAATTGAAATAACTTAGCTGGTGACCAACCAACAGCTGCACGGACCGATATCTGCTGTGAGGGGAAGAACCTGAGCCTGCAGGCTGCAGTAACTCATCCCTCTGAATATCGACTGTAATCCACCAGGAGCCTCTTTGATCCCGTCTCTCTCTGGAACAATCACAGCTCTTGGCCTCACAGGAGGCCGTGACATGCGGCCCAGTGGTAAAGAGCCATGTCTGGGATCGAACCACCACATTTTCCCACCTGCCTCAGCTGCGTCCACGCAGGTCTCTGTGGTCTCACACCATATATATCCCCCCTGACAGATTTTGACGCAGCAACAGCTGTTTTCCCTTCAACTGTGGCACCGCTCCATCCATCCTTTTCCTCCTTCACTAATTCATTGTTGTCCTATATGTGTCAGCAGCCTTTTTCCCATCAACTGGATCCTCTTCAGCTTCCTTAAGTGCTTTGAATTTATCTGTCTTGTCCACTAATCTCTCCCACTTTGCTCTTTCCTTCAATAATTCTCTCTTATTAATGTGGACCTGACACAAGGCCATGTTCTGTCCGACTCCGCTGAAGTTTCCAGGTCGTATATTGTTCTGAAATGAGTTAGCGGCAAGATATTTCTTGCATTTGCATTCATCTCCTCTGTGGCTTAGTTTAAATATTTCAGAACCCAAACACATTAAAGGCTGTGCAAAGAACAGATCGTCTAACATCGCATATACCTGTCAACTCTATTACTATGCTCTGATATTTATGACACAAGAAAACAAACAGGTTTCATTCTAAAACTATGGGCTGGATCCAAGAAGAACAGAGATAGAGTTTAGCTCTCCTCCCAAAAGAAACACCCACACACACACACAGGCACACACCTCATTTCAACAAACTCCCAAAGCTGCACAGTGTGAGATTTGTCTGCAAGTCAAGTTCAGCCTGCAAGTTACGCACTAGGAGCAACTCTTTCCACTGCGCTCCCCTCTTTATATAGACTGGAGTCAGTTCAGCTTAAATCACTTTTACTACCATCAAAGTCCTCAAAGGATGCCTCTGTATGTGTGTATGTGTGTGTGTATGTGTGTGTGCATGTGTGTGTGTGTGCGTGTGTGTGTGTGTGTGCATGAGAGAGACAGAAAGGAGGGGGAGAGAAGAGAGGGAGAGAAACAGCAGTGGGATAATAAGACAATATGGAAAACCTTTGTGGAAAATGTGCTGTTTTTCCTAGAGATTTGCTCTATTAAGTAATTTGGTCCATTAATGTTTTATATAACGCAAAATGATGTAATAACTTCCATGTTGCTCTTCAGATTTTGGATATATATAAATTTTTGGTCAGTTGCAGAGGCCAAAAATAAAACTTTGACTGTGCCTGAGTTTATTTTTAGACTCTCTTTGGTTGTTTGATAAAAAAAAAAAAATCTTTGTTTGAAACAAAAGAAACAAACAGCATAAAAAATCGTCAGCCTGAAGCGATGACTTAAAAAAAAAAAGCTTTTCACATTGACTGCTTCATGGGCTCGGTTCCAGGAAAGCCATCCCATTACTTTGTCTGAAAGCCTGACCTTTGACCCCCAACCTGGAAACAGTTTTTTATTATAACCTGTGAGCAGTAACTGATCTGTTTCACCGTGTCTCCGTCTGCTCGCCTCGTTTCAGGGAAATCATCACCACACTGACCGAAAAAACAGTGCTCACAGTTTCTCATAATGTTACAGGCGTCTTTAGAAGGAAAGCTGAGTGTTAACATAATATTTAACGACAAAATATCAAAATGAAGGATCCAAAATGAATTGCAATAAACTTCAATCTTCTTGAATTTCACTATTTGTGCACTGCACTGCTTCACAGCTTGTTTTGTTCTCTGAGCAACTCTGGAGAAAACACATGAGTCAGGCTACATTAAAGCCAAATGAGGTCATCATAGGGTTGCATCTAATTATAATGGTACGTTCCCAGATATCAAGATAAAAACAAAAAGATACCTGAGGGTGAACACTGAACTGTTGCTTTTGCTTTTCTGAACATTGAATTGATTTTTTTTTTAAATTGCATTTGGGGATTTCCTCCAAATTAGAATCTGCTAAAAACACATTTTCATTTTCTTTATGTTAGAAATAAAATTTGTTAAATGGCATTCATCAGTCAATATACTTTGCAGAAAATTAGCATCTCAACAAACCCTTTACTCCTGTCATTTGTAAATATCCATCTTGCAAACTTTGGCATGTTGTCAATCCAAACTTATACCAATGTGCATTTAGCAGAAGGCAAAGAGAGACCATGGAAAGGAACAGTGCTTCAGAGGCTGAACACAGAGCAACAATCACAGTGATGTTCACTTGCACTTGCATGAATTTTCAACTTTTAGAGCACCATGATGACAACTGCATCACTTGCAATCATTAATATTTCCTGTTGTGGATATTTCAGTATAAGGCAATGACAACAATGCAGGAGTCACCTACCTCTGCTCCTGCGAGGAGTTGAGGGACCAGACAGAGCTATACCAGCGATGAAGACCACGAGGAGTAGGACCAGAAAGCCGCGTGAGTTCTGCTGCATCCTCATCGTCATCATCATCACCTCTGCTGTGGCCGGCTCAGAGTCTCAGGTGCAATGAAGCTGCAGTTATCTTATCTTACGGACTCACAACTCAGCGTTCAATAAATCTTTGGTAACAGGGTGAGTGGTGTGTGTGTGCTGCAGCTGCAGGAGTCAGACTAGATATTTGTGGGGTGGCTGGACTACTTCTCTGAGCTTGGGGCTCTCAGGACTAGCGCAGCTCACCGGACTGAACTTCTGGACTGCACCATCTATACCTCTATAATGGAAGGAGGGGACAAATAGAGTCGGACACACCCACTCTCCTTTCCCTCCCTCATCTCTCCTTTTCTTTCACTCTCCATCTCACACCCTATTTCTCTAGAAAAGGAGTGAAAGTTATGTCCAAAACTCCTGCCCTTTTTTTCCCTGTTGTCTTTAATTCTCTGCTGATTCTGGTGTGTCCACATCAATCCTGTTTTCCATCTGCAGAGGCCTTTTGACACTCGGCTCCTTCTCTTTCGTCTTCTCTTAAATTCTTTCACCATTAGTATATTTATGTGCACTCCACTATCCTGGTTTTGATCATAATAAGTATATGATTCATGGACCTTGACAAATCTGATTAATCATATTTATGCACATCCATGTATTTATGGTACTATACGTATTCATGTTTCCAATCGTCTGTGCACCAACCAGTCAAATCTCAACATTCTGCAAAAGCCTGGATTATGCTCTGCTGCTTCTTTCTGTGCAATTCTAAAGTTTTTACTATTCTCATGTTCAACATTATCTCTGCATGACAACTGTGGTATGGTTGCAGTTGCCAAGCTACTGTGGTTATTGTAAATACAATATAGTGAAAGTGCATTTTGGGCTTAGGTAACAAATACACTGGCTAAACAAGGCACACGATTCTTCTGTATCAGTCTATAAATAGTGAATTAAAAACACACTTCTTCAAACTTTGACTACAATCATAAACATGGTTTCCTCTGAAGGGAAACTCTTTGAATGTGATTGTGTATAATTCATCAAGGCTGTGTGAAGATTAAATCAAGTACAGATCCAAACACCCACAGTAGTGCAGGTCCAAAGGTGGGACAGTGTTTTAAAAGGTTACGGTGTGGGGAGATCATTATTTAGTGTAAATAAGACGTGCTTCATGTCCACTCAACAGCCTGACTTCCACACTCTAACTTTTGCCTCGTTTGATGAGGTGCAAGATACAAGTCTGCTGCACGCAGGTGTGTCTTCGAATCCTCAGCATCACAACCACTTTGTCTTCTCTGAACTGAGCTACCTCAACTGTCGAGGAGAACATTTCAGTTTCTGGCTGCTTCAGTCAAGATAATTTGAAGGGCAATTGGACTGGTCACATAAGCTGCGTGTATCCAAAAAAGGAGCCATTATATTCCATGGAAACAATGACTCTCATCATCCAATCTATAAATATATTTTCTGCCACTGGCAGAAAACACGTTTACATAATGAGGGGCACGGACCAAAGACGTGTAGCCAGCGGCCATGTGTCGCACACGCAGAGAGGACTATTTGGTGCATCACAAACACATGATGACAGTGGAGCACCATGAGGTTACTTTGAAGTCGGACTCACAGTATATCATTGTTTACGGCCAGTCAGTTCACTTTGTGCATCTGTCCGTGTGCAAATGTTTGTGTGTTTCTTTGAGCCAGTTTTAATCCTGGTCAGCCAAGACTCCCTCGTGTCAGGAAGCGTGTTTGAGCACGGCTCACACATGTCTGCTCGCATGTGCATGTGAATTAGTGTGTATTCCAACAGCTCCACCTTCCAATGCAACTGATTGTATCCCACGTGTCATCAAATGAGACAGGAAATGGTGTTGTGCACCAGAGGAGGAGTATTTCCAGAGGAAGTCCCTGAACAGATTGTTGCGGTGGAACCCCGGCCTTCATCACGCCAGAACGCATTAAACACAGATGATTCATGAACTGCACACAGTGAAAATGATAGGAGCGCTTGGGGCTGTAACTTATTTTGACTTAGTCTGTTTTGCTGCTGGGATTTATTTGTCTATGAAGTCACAATAACAGGAGAAAAAGAGACAGTGACCCACTATCTTCTTCATCTGGTGGAAGAAGTACTCGGATCATTTACTTAGCACACAAACCAATATAGTAGGGTAAAAATACTCCTGCATTCAAAATATTACTGAAGTTTTTGCCACTTTCTCATTCTCCTCAGTTTTGTCCCATTTCCCAAGTTTGTAAGTCGTTCTTCTGAGTAAATGTGGAAACAATATGGACGCTATGCACAAACACGTGTTGTACTTTATTGCTCAGTTTAAACAACACAGTATTTTGGTGGTTTGCCCTCAGACCACTAAAATGTTGCTTTACTAGACTTATTGGCAATAAATAACTATTCTAATTCTTCTAGCTCACTCTACGACAAGTGTGAGGAACGTCCAGTCCCCAGGCCGTTTATACCCCGCTAGACCGTTTGATCCAGTCAACAATTCATAAATTCACAATAAGCAACTCAGAAATCAAAAGAAATAGTTTTTTTCTATTAAAAAAGAAAATGATTTAGTTGAAAATAATGATTCATAATGGCCCCCCGAAGGATGTTATAAATAGAATTACAGCCTCAAGTTTGTAGGCCTCTGCCAACCAGCCAAGTTGCGGTTTACATCCACGTCAGTCCAGACTCATATAATTTATGGGGTGAAAACTTTGAAGGGATCTAATAAGAAGTAATACTTGCGTTTTGTCATAATAAGCATTGAAATTCTTGTGTTAAAATCAAAATCGGATCCTCAAGTCCAAGTGAAGGTTTCTGCCAACTTGAAGGGATTCCCTCAAAAAGAACCTTACTGAGATATCACATTCACAAAAGTGAGACAGATGAGTGGGTGGGCGTACAACCTGAAAACTTATTGCATCTGGCTGTGGCTGTTTCCGTCACAGATGCATAAAAGTTCAAATGGTCCTTGATAGGAAAAAGGTTCCTCGCACCTGCTCAGCATAGAAACCAACTGTTGTGGCCAACGGTTCAGAACCACTGTCTAAAGTCATTTTAGAACCAGCACTAAAAGTACTGGTTGTGCAATTCAATTTCTATTTGAATTTGAACCTTCTCTCCCTTGAACTCTCTTAACCTGTTTTCAGATACGAACCCATATGAAGAATGCAACAGGAGATGGTGCCGGACACTTTCCCAACAGGGAAATGTACGAAATATTACCCGATTGCATATTAAAACCTCAAGAGCCCCATTTGCTCGCTGTGACTCCAGACATTTTCTTACTGTATTGTCACATGTGTTAACTCGGACATTTTCACGACATTTTACTAGGCAGTGGCAGAAGTAGCTCTGGAATAGGTCAGCAGCAATTTGGGTTCTCACATGAAACCCCTCTTGAATATTTTGTGAAATATCTCAGTGTATGCCTGAAAGCAGCTTTAGTCTTTCCATAGGCAGACAATATATAGTGAAGATATATAGTCAAGAAGGCTTATGGACTATATATTCTTCCTCACCTTTTCTTCCTCCCAGTCTTTCCAAGTGTTTCTTCCTCCTTCTCCACCACCACCATCACCTTGTCACCTCTGCTGCCACCTCCTCCTCTTCGCTCTTTCATCCCACTTTTTCTTCATGTGGAATGTAGTCTGGTTCTTATCAATTGTTAAATCTACTTGTAGACATAATTGGCTTCCGACTGTCTAACTGACCTAATTTGTGTAACCAGTTGTGATACCCTGAAGGCCTCTCTCTCTTCCAGTCTTTTTATGGGGTTAGATTCCTTTTTCGTTTGGGACGAGTCCTTGCTTGGGTCTTGTTGTGGCAGGAAATGATATTTTTCGCAGCCAAAATTTTGTTCACTTTGATAGAGTTTTATTGCCATTTGACAATTTTGGAATCCAAAATCTAATTTTAATGGGTTTAGAAAGAATGTTCTCTGATGCTCGTTGAAGTGTATTTGAATGTTTAATCCATTTGCCTCCTGTCTTTTGTTCTTCTCCAGCCAGACGATCCATCACTCAGTCTGAACATTGTGACAGTCTATTTTAGTTTGCTAAAGAAAAACTCTCAAGTGTTGAAGGGCCACGACTGAAACACTGTGTCCCGAATAAAATCGATGACTTTGTGGAAACATGCCACTGCTAACCGGAACTGTTTTCCATTGTAAATGTATGGAATCGGTTAGGAACTGTGTCATAGGCCAAAATATACAACCATACTGATATATATCTACAATAAGCTCATATCCACCAATTTATCAGCCTGGACTAACTTCTTACCATAGTGCAGCTTCGCTTTGCTCTGCTACTGTGAGGGAAAGGTATTGTTTCTTTATACACAGCATTAAATGGAAATGTGCTATTTCTATATACGGATTAAGCTCCTGACAAACTTGACTGTTCTTCTTAACTGAGAATGATTTAACACGCCAGGCTTTTAAAAAACGAAATTTGTCTCTCTTTCACTTTGGCATTAATTGATGACTCATCCTCCTTTTCTTTCATTCTGGTTTTGTCACCATATTCCTTTTCCGGCTCCTCTTTCTTCCCTCAGGGTTTTATGAAGGACGCAGAGGATTGAGGAGAACGGGTCAGGAACGCTGTCCTCGCTCTGCTTTTGTCATCACAGATATGTCATTCCTTTTCTTCGTTTTTACAGCTTTTCAACACATCATCGGCCTCGGCTGCCAACGAGTGCCACGCAGCCAGAAAACCCCGTCAGGGATGGGTACCAAAAACACACTTGCACATTAGCCTTTGTGTACATCAGTTTCCATTTGGTTAATGATACTGTTAGAAATTACTCCTTCTCCTCCACAGGCTTGCAGCCCCCATGCTCCCTGGAGAGTAATCACCTCTACTCAGGTGGAAAACCACTCAGAGAAGGCCTCACCAAAATCCCTCCCAATACGAAACTGACATGTTAAAATTTTAAGATCATTACTTTTTTTTCTCGATTTCTTCCTTCCAGGAGGTTGGAAAACGTTTGCTGCCGTAGCCAAGAGCAGAAGGTCTTTCACAGCTCAGTCGAGTGTGCAAGTTTCCTCACTTGGACTGGTTGTGATTTTGAGAATGGAAAAAGACAATAATTTAGATTTTTTTTTTTTTTCCACTCACTTTTTCCAATCTGCTGATGGCATGAATGAAGTGCCTTATTGAGTTACAGTGTTCCATACCAGGTCGGTGCAGCTCGAGACCGAGAATGTTGAAGACATACTTCTCCTA